GGAAGGGGAGGGCCTGGCTGGTCGAGTTAAATTAGGAGCTGACATAATAAATGTGTGCTCGCTGTGGAGATTAGGATGGCTGTCCTTGGGACTGTTGAGAAAAAACTTTTTAATTACTTCAGGTTTGTTAGATTTACCCTTCAGGATGGGAACATCCTGGAAAATAACCGGTATGTTTGGGGTAGTCAGACAGGCTAGTGATTAGCACCGTCCAAAAGTGACCTGTCCTCTTTTTAATATAATTAAAATACTAAAACCCACACCTCCAAGTGTTGGGATAACCCTCCTGAATTGACCCCCACCTCCCGAGCATGCAGAGTAAATTTAAGGAACACTGTGTTGTTAAATCAAAGCGGGAGAAGAACTAACCAACTGCAGTTAAGAAGAGATAAAAACCAGCCAACTGTAGTCAGAAGGATGTGGCACTAACAGTTGAACTGTATAAATACACAACGTGACTGAACCCGGGTGTGCAGCTTTGTGGGATTACCTCCAGCACCCATCTCTGCGCAGACGTGCAATAAGCAATGTCTCAGCTCTGTGTTGTGTTGGCTTACTGCACACCGGGCGATGAGCTCTGCTTCTGAGACAGCAGCCTCTCCCCTTGCAGCGAGAACGAGGAGCTGGAGGAGATCGCCTCAGCCGACCTGAAGTACCTGCTGCTGCCTGCCTTGCGGGGGTCCCTGACACTGAAGCAAGTCGACCTGAGCAGGCGGCTGGAGCACCTGGAGACCGCCCGGGCCCACTTCTGGCGCTTCCTTAAGCACTGCAAGAGCTACGGACTGGGCAGCTTCCACCTGCCCCCTGCCACTGCCAGCCCCTCGGGAGAGGAAGATGCTGGGACCCCATCCCTGGGGGGCCCTGCTGCCGCCCAGCCCAGCCTGGTGGCCATGGCATCGAATAGGCAAGCCAAAATTGAGAGGTAGGCTCTGGCTTTGCGGTGTGTAAAGGCTTTCAGGAATCGGTTTAAGAGAAGGGGAGAGCCTCAGGCTGTGCGAGATTGTACAGACAAGGACTGTCAGGAAAGCTGGGCTGGAGAGCTGTTTAAATTGCATGAATACAAAAATTGTACTTATATTCTAGCGAGTAACCTAGCAGGGGTAGGTTTGGGATACCAGAATGCATCGGGGCCTTTGGGGTCAGCACAGCAAAGCCTTTTCAGCACGGGCTGCTTGGCAGGAGGCTCAGAGCCACACATCGAGTCCCGAGTGCAAGAGGGTCTTGTGAGGAGCTGCAGGCAGGGCTTTGGTTATGCGTGAGCTCCCCTCTCACTGAGGGCTCTTGTTTGCCTGAAACGTGACTCCTGCTTGAAGACAAATGGGAGGTGCCAGCGTTGTGAGTTCTGTCGTGAGCAGGTTAGTACTTGATCAGGGTGAGATGCCGCAATTATGTTTGCTTTAGGTAAAATGTATAGACTGCATGAACAAACTTTTCCCAAGAAGGCCTGTATCATCGCTTTGGCTCCAGACCTGTCTCATTCTTGCTGCCTTTAGCCTCGCTCTCTGAATGAGCGTGCGATCCGGCATCCTGGGGAGCAGTCTGGGATTGCAGTGGCCAACTGAAGAGAACTTCTCCCACTGCAGAGTGTAAAGACAAACAGGAATGGAGCTTTGCTTCCGTGCAGGACAGGACAGGGCTGGGCAGTCTGGAGCTCAGCAGAAAAAAAAATAATTGAAAAAAAAAAAGTAATTGAGAGAGGCCCCTCTAAATTTACACTATCTTCTTAAAGCTGTTTCTAACAGACAGGAGCTACTTAAATTACAACAGTAAACCATCAGAACCTCCCTTCTTGTATACAATTTTCTTTTTAAATACATGAAATCCTGTTAAACCTCTTAGCGTGGTAAAGATCCAATGTAATGTCTAAATTTGAGTTGACAGGTGGAAATGAGGGGGAAGATGGGAGGCAAAGATCGTGGTGCTGAGGTAGCTCTGTAACTACATTTGATTGAATTTCAAGAAATAGGAAATTGTTTATTTTAGAAAACACTGTGTCTGGACTGGACCAGAGAAGGGTTATTTAATGATCTCATTGTGTTCTCTTTGAGATAGATATAAGCAGAAGAAGGAACTGGAGAACAGGTTGGCCTCTGTGAGAACCTTTGTGGAGAGCGGGCAAGCTGATGAGGATCAGATACGGGAATTTTACATCCTACAAATCCAGAAATGGATCAACACCAGCCTTGAGGAAATTGAGAGTATTGACCAAGAAATGGTCATCCTGAGGAGCAGGGACGCAGTGAAACAGGTGTGATATCTCTCTTGAACTGCGCATCCTGAGGACTGGGGATAGTCAGACCTGATGATAGACACTGTTGTGGGTAACTGAACCTCAGAGGAATTAGGGAGCAGAGCTTCATGAATTCTCGATTGAAATTTAGTTCAATCGCAGCACAAGCCAGTGGGGTTTGGTTTAATTCCAAATGGGCAGTGGTCTGGTTTTTGGCTAGTCACTGTTAGGTGCTACCTGCAAAGGCTTTTCTCCACTTTGCTGGGTTCTGCCAGACCCTGAACTCTAAAGAACTGATTACAATTGTAAATTAAAATAAGACCCTTATGATTTTTCTCACACCTGTGCTTCTGGCCTACAGAGTGTCCAGATGTTACAGAAAGAAATGCCCTTTCCGAATACCGAAAGCTTCTCACAGACTTGCAATTCCTGCACAGAATAGTGTTTCTGGGCTTTCTGTTACTCCCTTAAAATGTCTGTCTAGAAATAAGAAATTATAACGTGCTGACGTTGGTTGGCACAGCTGGTTTGTGCAGTTCATTGCTGGCGTTGCAGAACTCTGCTCTTCTGCAGTGCCCTGGGTGATGTTGAGAATGACGAGCTCTGCTTGCTTCAGAATGTACAGCGTTTGATCCTTGGGTGGAACAAGCTGTATTTCCTGCTTTGATCTGAGCTGATCTGGTTTAGCTCTGTCAGCTTTCTGCTTTGATCAGAATGGGTGTAACGAAGGCACAAAGAGAAGTGATTTGTTAGAAGCTCACAGATGGAGTTGATGATTTAAACTGGATTAAGGCCTGAATTGTCCATCTTGGGATGTTGCTCTGACAGCAGAGGCATTTCTCTTCTACAAGACCTTTAGTAACTTGTTTGGGGTGGGAAGCAGAGAAAGGGGATTCTCATGATCATCTTGTGACTGTTGTTTGCATCTTCAGCCTTTGGCACCACCACACGGCACTTCTCGGCCAGTCAGGACTCCATTGAAACCTTTCATTCTTACCCGGGATGCTGCTCAGGCTAAGTATGTTGCTTTCTGATTATTTAGACATGGCATGAGGCAGTGTCAAGCCTAAGATACTCTTTCAAACACAGAAAACCAGTCGTTACCTTCAGGCAGTGTGTCACATCAAGATGGCACGTGCTGTGCATCTGGGCAGGGGGTGGGGGGACATCTAATGCATTTCTTCCACTTTCTCTAATTTTTTCCATTACCAGCATGCTGCAGTGTCTTGGTCTCCCACAGTATCCTTGCGGCTAAACT